TGCGCGGATTTCGTGTCTCAGAGCTCTGCGCGGATTTCGTGTCTCAGAGCTCTGCGCGGATTTCGTGTCATTGCATTTGTTGCCTTTGATTGCCATCTTCAGATTCACTTCATTGTTGACATTCTTATTTGCGTTCAAGTTGTGGAGGAAGTAGGGCCGGAGTAGAGTCAGTCCTTCGACTCTGTCAGACTGTCATGGCTTCGGAAGCTCCAGAGTCATCTGCGGCAACAGCTGCTGCAGCAGCTCCCCCCTGATGATGCCTGGACACACAGCGTCATGGCTGTGGATGATGATGGTGCCCAGAGCCAGGTCATGGCTTCGTGTGAGACTTGCTTGGCACAATGCGGCGGGCCGAGTCAATACCTTCAAAGGTATTTGCGGACTGCAGATGAGGGCTTTGAATTCATGGAATGGTTGAGGGAGCAATTTCCGGAGCAAGATGACACCCTCTACCACCAAGAAGCAAAGTTGCCGTGCTTCAAGGACAGTTCAGACTTGGCTTGCGCTGCTCCCACTTGTGTCCATGTGTCTTCCTTGGGGTTCACGAGCAACTGCAGCCTCAAACCTGGGCCTGGGGCGGGTCTGGCAACCTCTTTGCTCCAAGAGTTTCTCAAAGATGGCTTTGTGACTGCTGGTGACCCGCTGTTGGTTTTGCAGCATGAAGCTTGCGTCGCGCCTTATGGCTTGGAGAAGGACAGTAGCAAGCTGCAGCCCTTCAACTTGGCCTACCTGAAAGGTTTTGCCAGAAGCGCCACTCTGCTGATGCTCCTTCACCGGTGCAAGGCTCTTGGCTTGAATGGTTCTTCGCCGGGACTGGCGCCGCTGTGGTCCTCTGTGACGAGGATCTGGGTGCATTGCATGGAGTCTTCAAACAGAATAGATGAGGCTCTGACGAACATGAAGCTCTCCAGCCGTGGATCCCTGCGGAAAGCTAACAACTTGATTCAGCTGGTCTTTATGCTCCAGAACCTCAAGTCCCTCGGCCTATCAGACAGCTCCTCCTTTGTGCAGCGTTGGAACAAGATGTCCAGCAAGACATTTCAAATTGTCGGGAGAAAGGCGTCAGCTTTGAAGTTGCTTTTGGAGCAAACGCCTCAAAGTGTTCTCACTTTGATCTTGGACCATGTAAACATGCATGGTTGGGAATCGTGCGTGTGGAGCGACGACAACCTCGGTAGCAAGAAGATATTTTCCGGCTTCCAGTTCAGCTGCTCCAAGAAGTCATGGCTCCCCAGGCTCCGCACTACGGATGAGTCCATGATGTTGATGGTGAAATTTTTGCAAGCTTGCCACGAGCAGAAGGCTAGCTACATGCGAAAGAAACCCGATACTCAAGCAGTTGAGGACGCAGCCGTGAAGGCAGCCTTGTGTTGGCATCTTGGCCAAGAACTGCTGCAACAAGTTCCCGTTGACCCCAACAAACTGCAGGCTGAATGGTATGACAATTTCGGTTCCGGGGAAAACTCTGTGGATGGCGAGCTGCAAGCTTTGCTCATGGACAAATCCGACACCTTCGACGTGAAGCGCGATTGCCCCTCATTGCGCAAGCTGGTGGAAGACCACAAATTCTCGAAGCCAGTGGCCATGGACACCGTGGAGGAAGTCTCTTTGCAGGTGGACAAATTTGCTTTGATCATGAAACAGCTCAAGTACGATGTTCAGGTCTACACCACATGGACCCGCAAGGTCTCCAGTGTCAAAAGCGCTCAAGAGCATCAGAGGCATATGTGGCTTTTGGAACGTCGCAAGAGATGCCTGGCAGTGGCTGATCAGTTTCTTTCCCGCAACGTGAAGCTTCTGGTGTGGCAAAAGAAGGTGGAGCTCGCAATCGCTGAGATCATGAATGCAAAGCGAGATGTGACCTTTTTTAATGATACGGCGACCACCGAGATCTACACCTTGGTTTGGTGGAATGTCACGTCTCCATGCTTGAT